TTCTGGTCTGATGTTGTTTGTGGGAAATACCTGATAAGATAATAGAAAGATACATGCCTAATTTGACCGGACTAAATTCCTATTTTTAACCTCGTGTAAAACATCAAAACGGAACTCGGCGTGCAAGTTGTGGAAATGGGTCAATATTAAATGGATAGCAGCAGCCATCAGCATGCAGAACGGATGAAAACATTCCAAAATGTAAACAAAGTAGACGTTGGAGATTGTGTTTGACGGATGCCAACGACTAGAATGATGAACCTATCGTTCCTCGCTGCTGGGATCTGTTGTTTTCATAACAATCCAGAGTATTCAAATATACATTGTAGACGAAAAAGTTGGAATATGCTCAGCAAAATTTTAGTCTGGTAAACAGGAGAAACACGTAAATTTCACAAAGCAAATATACAAATAAGTTTATTTACGCATGAATGCACTGTTTAAATCTAACTTACATAAATAAATTCAAAGAATTACGCTGCGACGCCTCTTGGTTTATTGTTCCCTTAAACCACCATACTTCACACTGGCAAATGTCAAGCGAACGTCAAATTTCATACGGAAATCCCTAAAATTTTTATTTTTTTAAACTAATTTTTCTTACGGAAACCTTTGAATGCCCCCCACCATCTAGAGATACAGTAAAAATTGTCAAACAAGAAAAGTTGACATTATCCTCGACTAACGATTAAGTATTTGTTTTTAGACTAATTTAGCGGAATTCACAGAAACAGCGGTAATGTCAGAAACTTGCCTCTACGATGGATAGGTTCCCAGATTCAGTACCTCGTATTCTTAGTTGGACACCCTGTACATCATCTTAAATCCGCCTCTGATAAAGAACATTACTGTTTCCGTTGCCACGTTAAGAGGAAAGGAGGACTGTGTGTAAATTTTCCGCTATAATAGTAACAATAGTAAATAATAAGTATTTTTCAACCCTTCCGTAGACATTAATATAAATATACAGGGTGTTTCAGTTTATTGTTGGATAACTTTAAGATTCGATAGAACGTTTAAAATTAATGCATAAAGTCTATATAAACATGGGTCGAAACATGCGTGGCTTCCGAAATACAGGGTGTTTAAATTTACTTTCTAAAATAGTTTTTTTAAATATTTCGAACAATATTTGATATATAACAGTGAAAATTGGTATACACGGGTTTTTTGGTACGACAAAACAAACCATGGGCATAGTTTTACTGTATCCGCTAGAGGACGCTCTCTACTGTACATGTAGTGTATTAAAATGAACGAAAATTTTTTCTTAGTGCAATTTTTTGCTTTTGAATAAAAAAACTGATTCTTCGCACTTTTCAATATAAAAAGGCTCTCTTGTGAATTTCCGTTATAGTTAGCCGTTATTGAGATATTTCGATTTTCAAGGTTCGATGCATTTTTAAATATTTATGATAAAATAACGTTAAAAAGTCAGTATCTCGATAATTTTTAGAAGTAGGCTGTGACTGCAAATATTTTTGAAGTTGAAAGCAGAATAAGGTTAAACGTCAATTAGTTGACAGTTAGTTTTGTTGTCTGTTGAAACCTGAAACGTTTTTTTGCAATTGTGAATGCACGAAATTTAGTTTCTTTTTCCTGTTGTTTTTTGTAAGTTTTATAAAAAATGCCATTTTTATTCTCCAATCAAGAGTCAGCGGATATTCATTTTGTGTATGGCTTTGTAAATGGAAACGCAGCAGAAGCAGTCAGAGAATACGCACGAAGATTTCCAAACAGACGACATCCAACTCGCTCAGTATTTGTAAGAATGCATCGCCAAATAATTGAAAATGGCTTTGGAAATCTCCAAAGGGATCAAAACATAAATGTTCGTCAGCGCAGATTTACCCGTATGATTCTGCGTGAGTTTGATAGAGATCCGACCACAAGTGTTAGGAGAGTTTCTGGTGCCTTGGGAATTTCAGCAAGCCATGTTCACCGTGTTCTTAGAAATGACCATAGGCGTCCTTACCATTTGCAACCTGTGCAAGGACTACAGCCAGGGGACGGAGAACGAAGAATCACATTTTGTCAGTGGATTCTTGATAGAACTGATAATAATAGGGAGTTTTTAAGTAACGTTTTATGGACCGATGAGTCATGCTTCACTAGACGTGGAGTGGTAAATTTTCATAATTAACATATTTGGTCGCATGAAAATCCGCATGCAGTTCGGGAATGAAATTTTCAGCATGAATTTAGTGTGAACGTGTGGATTGGTATCTACCGTAATCGACTATTTGGACCCTACCTTTTGCCTGCAAGGTTAAATGCTGCGACCTTCTTAGAATTTTTAAAGGCTGAACATGCAAATATGTGGGATGATGTTATGTTAGATTTAAGAAGATTGGCCTGGTTCCAGTTGATGGATGTCCAGCTCATTATTCGAGAATAGTTAGAAACTGGCTGGACGAAAATTATCCAGAAAGATGGATCGACCGTGGAGGACCAGTCGCCTGGCCTCCACGATCCCCTGACCTAAATCCATTAGATTTCTTTGTGTGGGGATTTCTAAAATAAAAAGTGTACCAGACTCCCGTAACCACAAGAGATATGCTAATAGACAGAATCAGGAATGCATGTGATGAAATAAGGCCTTATTTGAATAATGCTATACCACGTTCGATCATTCGTAGATGTGAATTGTGTATTGAACAATTTGGTTTACATTTCGAGCAACTACTTTAGATTTTGTATGTTTGTCCTAACTATCCAATAGCATTTTAGTTGTAAATAATTAATTTAATTTGTTAAAAATAATATTGGAAAATTAAACAAATTAATATTCTGTTTTTTTGTGTATTTGGAGTTAGGAATTATTGCTGTGTTTAAAAACACAATCTAAACGATCATCTTAATGACTTGTAATGCCCAAATCGAAAATGTAAAAAAAATATTATTTTCCCATAGATAATTAAAAATGCATCGAACCTTAAAAATCGAAATATCTCAAAAACGGCTAACCCTAACGAAAACTCACAGGAGAGCTTTTTTATGCAGAAAAGTGCGAAGAATCAGTCTATTTGTTCAAAAAGCAAAAAATTGTCTTAAGAAAAAAATTTCGGTCATTTTAATACACTATAGGTACAGTAGAGAGCGCCCTCTAGCGGCTACAGTAAAACTATGCCCATGGTTTCGTTTTGTCGTACCAAAAAACCCTTGTATACCAATTTTCACTGTTATACATCAAATATTGTTCGAAATATTTAAAAAAACTATTTTAAAAAGTAAATTTAAACACCCTGTATTTCGGCAGCCACGCATTTTTTGACCCGTGTTTATATAGACTTTATGCATTAATTTTATAAGTTCTATCAAATCTTAAAGTTATGCAACAATAAACTGAAACATAGTTAAATAACATAGTCAACACATTACAACCGGTATATAAGAGTACGTTCCACACTTAAACTGTATCAATGGACAAGTAAATAACTACAGAACGAATGTATAAATAGAGAGAGATAAGGTCATACCACCAAATAATAGATGAAATTTGCAATTACAGTTCATACATGCAACTGACACAATAACATCGTATTAGTACACACCTTTTTGCTTGTTAAGAAGATATAGTCTGTAGTCTTTTTCAAACCGCTGTATGAAATTGTTGTCAAATAGTTTAACCTTAATGTTGAAAATGGTTGAAGAGTGCGTAGGAATAACATTTGAGTTTCTCGTATTTGAATTATGAACATCAGCAAGCCGCGTTAAATTGTTACAAAAGTATGACGGTTTTTTATATTTAGTCAGCTTATACAACATCGTACTGTATTGCAATTCCGCCTGTGAATCGTATTTCAGATTGTTATGTGGTGATATATGTTCAAATCTGCTAATAGTGTTGTAACTGTACCGTAAACAACAGTTTTGTTGAACCTGAACCATGTGTTTCAAGTTAGTTAGTCAAGAGAGTTACCGTAACCGAAATGCCAGTAAATTGTCTTGATAAATTTTCAATGGGACATAAATATTTTTTTGCAATAATCCGTGCAACCATGTTTACTTTTAGACACTATTAGAAATTGTTTTTCCAATAATTCACTATCGCCGACACAAATCCAATACTGCATTGCGAAAAAATGTTTACAAAACGAGAAACCTGGCGGTAGTATAAATCCTGCACCCTTCACGGTTATACGGAAAATTGACAGAATTTTTGTGTTTACCTCGACGCAACGCACTCCCATTTGTTTATTTTCCCACAAGCCAGGGACTTGTTTTTCAGTACGAATTTAAAATTTGAATGCGGTGCAAGAAATGTTTTTGTAATGGAAAACCAAATATTTTAAACTATGACGAATAAAGGGTAAAGGTAGGTATGTGTGTATGTTGAAGGCAAAGCTTAAAGATGTGGTATTAAAGCAAACATTGAGCAATTATTTCCTTAGCATTGTATGTAACAATGTAAATAAACATTAGGGCGTCCCAAAAAAAGTTTGATACGATATGCTAACTGTTAAAATAATCCAGCATCAACTGTGATTCTGGCACCTTATACTGTCTTGTTGAGGTCAAGCCCAGACGATGATGATAAGCTGCCAAAAAAGACAAAACATCTGTCCATGGTTGACTGTCTCAGCATCAACACCCTATTAATGAAGCGTTTCCAAAAAAATATACCTCAAAAAAATTATCTTGAGTCGTACGAGCCGAAGGCAAGGTTCCCTATTCTTTAAAATTACAAAAGCCATGCATGCTAAATGACATAGATAATGCAACACCGACTTCCGATAGTTCCTCCAGGCAAGTAGGTGGCGCAACCAACTGACAAACGTCAACGGTGCTGCCATTGTTTAACGTGCAGCTCGCACTTCTTCAGTATGTGTTTTGTGATCCGGACGCTTGATGTTCATGTAGGCGCCCAAGAAAGATTGGGCGGGGGATATACTCCAACCAATGACGGCACGCGACGATAGCGGTACCGGCGTACGCTTCGTCGGCGTCGCTGCTCGCTGCGAACAGCGCGCTCCTCTTCAGTTTTCGGTCGGTGCTCGGCGCGACTGGACGACGGTTAAGCTACTTCTTGTTGTAGTGTTGCTTTATCGGTGATTACCCGCGGTGTGGTGATGATGAAGAGTGTATTGTGAATTCATGGTAGTGCGTAAAAATGTGTGAGTGAGGCATCCCTTTGTATTTTCACGTTGGATATTCTTCAGATCTTCCAGGGGAAAATGAATGGCTTCACAGCAAACTAGGTAGGTTACTAATACTCATCTACTTTTGTGTTAGCTTTGAGCTCATAATGTCTTGAGAAACCATCCCAAATGCGCAAAAAAGAACATCACTGAATAAGAATACATGTTAATCAAAATTATAACTGCTATAAGCTATAACGCAATTCCCAATCAATAATTTTAACAATGAAGTATCAAAAGGTACTAACAAACAAGCTAGAAAATTCAACATGAATATAGTCTGCTGTGAATAAATGTCTTAAGTAATTGAAGACATAGACAATGTATGTAGGTATTTATTTCTTACTAAAAAGCTTAAAAAACTCTCTATACGAGAGATAATAGGATATAAACATTTAATACAATCGGTGCACTAATCTGACTTTCTTGTAAGTTTTTTACATGTTAGTGTGGTAGTATGTATTTATTTACATTCACTATAGAGGGGGCAAGAAGAAAACCGTGGGAGTAATTTTCCAACTCGATTTTTAATTAATCATGGGAGAGAGGTAGCTCTCTGCAAGGTTTATACAAAAAAGAGTTGGAGCGATAGTACCAATGAGGGCCTTCACAGGCCAGTTTCAAAAGGTCCAAGATTTGTTATTGTGCATTCTGGTAGAGAAAATGGTTTCGTTGAAAATGCGTATCTGCAATTTAAATCGAATAGTAAGTCCAGTGATTATCATAGTGTGATGAACTATAGTAACTATAAAAAATGGCCTCAGGATAAACTGATTCTCAACCTTCCACGATATAGTGTTTTGGTTATGGACAACGCTCCGTACCACAATGTTCAGACCGACAAATGTCCCACTATGTGCTCTAAGAAGGATCATATGAAAGAATGACTAAGGCAAAAAACATTCATTTCACCGACGACATGTTGAAAATTGATTTGTATAGCCTTATCAAAATGCATAAGCCGGCATATATAACTTATGAAATAGACAGAATAATGGCTAAAAAAGGTCATTCTGTTTTGAGATTGCCACCATATCACCCCGACTTGAGCCCAATTGAGTTGGTATGGGCATCTTTGAAACAATATGTGGCTGAAAGAAATGTAGATTTTATTTTCAAAGCTGTCGACAAACTTTGCTACGACTTTTTCTCGTCTTATCCTACAGAAGAATAGAAAAAGTGTTGTGAGCATGCCAAAGGTTTTGAGAAGCAGCATATGGAAATGGAACTTAGTTGTGGATCAAAAAATAATAAAACTAGACGAAGATAGCGATAGCGAAACGGAAGATTTATGTTTAAGTATAAGCTCAGATTCCGATTCTGAACTTTCACGATTTGATCCTCTGTGAAACTTCATAAATCTGTACTAATACGGTGTAAGTTTTCTGACCTCACCTTTCATTTGATTGTTTATTAATTGAAATTATTAACAATTAAAGATAGAATGAGTACCAGTCAATTTAAGCCTTATAGCTACATACTTATTTTATGGAATAAATTGTTTTGGTTTCCTTTTGACACATGCCAGCAATTGCGATTAAAAAAGCATACGCATTCCATCACTGAAATTATTAGATCAATTTAGGACGCAGATTGTACCACTCGAGATCGAATGGCACATATTGTACGTTCCATCTCTTCTGCTCCGAATGCGTTCTCCCTCAGTTTCTTGTTGCATAACTTCAAGATTCGGTAGAACTTTTAAAATTAATGCATAAAGTCTATATAAACATGGGTCGAAAAATGCGTGGCTTCCGAAATACAGGGTGTTTAAATTTACTTTCTAAAATAGTTTTTTTTTAATATTTCGAACAATATTTGATGTATAACAGTGAAAATTGGTATACAAGGGTTTTTTGGTACGACAAAACGAACCATGGGCATAGTTTTACTGTAGCCGTAAGGGGGCGCTCTCTACTGTACCTGTAGTGTATTAAAATGACCGAAAAAAATTTCTTAGTAACAATTTTTTGCTTTTTGAATAAAAATACTGAATCTTCGCACTTTTTAACATAAAAAGCTCTCCTGTGAGTTTTCGTTATAGTTAGCCGTTTTTGAGATATTTCGATTTTTAAGGTTCGATGCATTTTAATTATTTGTGGGAAAATGATATTTTTTTTTACATTTTCGATTTGGGCATTACAAGTAATTAAGATGATCGTTTAGATTGTGTTTTTAAACACAGCAATAATTCCTAACTCCAAATAAACACAAAAAAACAGAATATTAATTTGTTTAATTTTCCAATATTATTTTTAACAAAGTAAATTAATTATTTACAACTAAAATGCTATTGGATAGTTAGGACAAACATACAAAATCTAAAGTAGTTGCTCGAAATGTAAACCCAATTGTTCAATACACAATTCACATCTACGAATGATCGAACGTGGTATAGCATTATTCAAATATGGCCTTATTTCATCACATGCATTCCTGATTCTGTCTATTAGCATATCTCTTGTGGTTACGGGAGTCTGGTACACTTTTTCTTTTAGAAATCCCCACACAAAGAAATCTAATGGATTTAGGTCAGGGGATCGTGGAGGCCAGGCGACTGGTCCTCCACAGCCGATCCATCTTTCTGGATAATTTTCGTCCAGCCAGTTTCTAACTATTCTCGAATAATGAGCAGGACAATCATCAAGCTGGAACCAGGCCAATCTTTTTAAATCTAACATAACATTATCCGACATATTTGCATGTTCAGCGTTTAAAAATTCCAAGAAGGTCGCAGCATTTAACCTTGCAGGCAAAAGGTAGGGTCCAAATAGTCGATTACGGTAGATACCAATCCACGCGTTCACACTAAATTCATGCTGAAAATTTCTTTCCCGAACTGCATGCGGATTTTCATGCGACCAAATATGTTGATTATGAACATTTATCACTCCACGTCTAGTGAAGCATGACTCATCGGTCCACTTGTGGCCGGATCTCTATCAAACTCACGCAGAATCATACGGGTAAATCTGCGCTGACGAACTTTTATGTTTCTGTTCCATTTGGAGATTTCCAAAACCATTTTCATTTATTTGGCGATGCACTCTTACAAATACTGAGCGAGTTGGATGTCGTCTGTTTGGAAATTTTCGTGCGTACTTTCTGGCAGCTTCTGCTGCGTTTCCATTTAGAAAGCTATACACAAAATGAATATCCGCTAACTCTTGCTTGGAGAATAAAAATGGCATTTTCATAAAACTTACAAAAAAAAAACAGGTAAAAGAAACTAAATTTCGTGCATTCACAATTGCAAAAAAACGTTTCAGGTTTCAACAGACAACAAAACTGACTGTCAACTAACATAATTGACGTTTGACCTTATTCTGCTTTCAATTTCAAAAATATTTGCAGGCACAGCCTACCTCTAAAAATTATCGAGATACTGACTTTTTAACGTTATTTTATCATAAATAATTAAAAATGCATCGAACCTTAAAAATCGAAATATCTCAAAAACGGCTAACTATAACGAAAACTCACAGGAGAGCTTTTTTGTGTTGAAAAGTGCGAAGAATCATTATTTTTATTCAAAAAGCAAAAAATTGCACTAAGAAAAAGTTTTCGGTCATTTTAATACACTACAGGTACAATAGAGAGCGCTCTCTAGCGTATACAGTAAAACTATGCCCATGGTTCGTTTTGTCGTACCAAAGAACCCTTGTATACCAATTTTCACTGTTATACATCAAATATTGTTCGAAATATTTAAAAAAAACTATTTTAGAAAGTAAATTTAAACACCCTGTATTTCGGAAGCCACGCATTTTCCGACCCATGTTTATATAGACTTTATGCATTAATTTTAAAAGTTCCTTCGAATCTTAAAGTTAAGCAACAATAAACTGAAACGCCCTGTATATCCTGACTGTAAAAAAAAACTTTGGAAAGAAAATTAACTAAATAATGTTCTTTCAGTAGTAAATATCTAAGAAATACAAGATACATATAAAGCAGTGTTTTATTTGTGGAATAAGAATTACGTCTATTAACTTTCAAATTCATAATTTGACCGAAAGTTATCGTTCCCCGACCGCAATAAGATTTATTTCTTGAGTTGTTAGAGTCAAATGGAAAAAATAGAAGATATGCGTATCTCAGTTCGAACAAAAAACCTCACCGTTGGTGTAGCGGTGGAAGAGAACTAGATCGCCGATGCGAAAGGGTTCCGAGACTGTCTGTTAGAGAAGAGTCCTCGATCAGTAGGACAGCCCTTCTCTGGACAACATCGAGCATAAATAATGCAGTCGGGGCGGCAGCACTCCAAACGTGTGAGCAGTAATCGAGGCTAGGCCATGTATAGAGTGAGGAGGTCATTCGGAGGAAAGTACTTCTTAGCCCTAAACCATTGATTCCCAAAGTGGTCTATATCGACCCCCAGGGGTCTATGACAACCTGCAAGGGGTCTACGTCAGCGAAAAAAAATTTGGGGGTCCACTGATAGTACCTATTTACTTACATCATACATATCTTATAATATCAAAACATATACATTATTTATAAAAGTACCTATGAAGTAAAAAATTTATTATATATGTTTATAAAATTGTGCAAGTTGTAGGATGTTGGTATTCGCTTTGTGGTCGCAATACATTTTGAACTTGTAAAAACCTGAGAGTCGCAGTCTCAGAGCTTCGCTACCTTGCACTGGCTTGTTCAATTCGTCACTCTATAAATACGAATGTGGGACAAATACGTTTATTCGTTTCCTGAATCTTGAAAAGGAAAGTGCTAAGAAAATACTTTAAAAAATATAAACAGATAGTATATCACACAAATTATAGTGAGTCAGTGTTATTTTGTTTGAGAGTGCTGGAGAAAAGTAAGTACATTGTTTTTTATTAAATTTTAGTTTTGTACTCGTAGTTAGCAAAGATAGATAAATTACGCCAATCATGACTTTAGTTATTAGTAGTTAAATATTCAATCATGCAAAATTACACGAGTACTCCTCAATAGTTTCTTTTTGAATGTTTTAGCAATCGGTAATATAATTACTGTGCAATCTCCGTAATTCGAGCTAATTGTTGCAAGAAGATGTTCGAATTATGGAATGTTTT